GCTTATGTATATGTATTAAATTTTGTATATGTATATGTATACATAAATATATATATAAATATACATATATATATACAGACAGATAGATAGATAGATAGATGTATATGTATATATGTATATAATTACGTCTCTATATAGTCGTATGTACACTTAACATTTATACACACATATATATATACATATATATATATGGGTTAGTGCGTGTGTGTGTGCGTGTGCGTCTGTCTATTTATATATGTTCATATATATATATTTATATAAATATATATATATATATATCTGTATGTATGTTTGTATGTTTGTATATTGTATGTTTGTATATAAATATATATATGTGTGTGTATGGGTGTGTCTGTGTGTGTGTGTGTGTGTACTAAATCCCTATATACATATATATATATATATATATATCTGTATGTATGTATGTATGTATGTACATATATATATGTGTGTGTGTGTGTATGTATTTAAACGCGAATTCCCACCTAGTTCCTCAATACCCCATTTGCCACCTATTCTTCTATCAGATGCCTTGTCCATCACCGCCACCCTATCCACTCCCACCACCCGTCACACCGACGCAGTCAGTGCCAGCGACTATGACTCATGTTCCGATGACAGTGCGTGTGAGGAGGATACCTCCTATGGTACGGCACTGACCGCCGACTTGAGTGAACGGTACATACACACAACGCAGCATTTGCACTCGGACAGGAACGAGGAGAGTCTGAAACCCGACTCTCGCCCCATAATAGGACAGGCATACGACGAGGCTGTGGGTGGAGACGAGACCGTTGGATTTCGGTACGATATCGTACAGCCACCCAGTGCGTCTAATTGGTTGGGCAGTGACGCAGATACCACTAACCAGAGCCCTGGCCCTGCCCCATCTGTGTGTGGTGAAGGTGAAGGTGTGTACGAGACAAATGCGAGCCACACAGACAGCATGCGCCAACAGAGCGACGCCACGGCAGCGGCTGGGAGAGGCACGTACACAGCACAGGAGAGCAGCACACACACGTTGTGGGATAAGGACAATGGGCTGTGTGCAGACATGAATGAGGAAAGCTTGAGAGATACGGACAGCCGTGTTGTGGTGGGGAGAGAGGCGAGTGGGGCTGAGATTAGTGGCTTAGGAACTAGTCGGGTGGTAGGTAAAGGCAAAACTAATCTGGTAGATGTCAGTGGAGTTATGGGCGACCCTAGAAGTAGTGATATGGAAGACTGGCGGAGTGACAGCGTGGCATCCTTCAACTCTGGCGGTGGCAGATCAAAGGACACACTGGGGGAAACCTACGAGCCCATGCCCAGGTATCTATAACTTGACATATGTGGGGTGAATATACCTACTGTGAAGTATCTAAAAATAGGGTATGATAAATCAAATACGTGTAGCATGTAATATCTATACATAGAAGATGATAAATAGAATATGTGTAGCATGTAATATCCATAAATAGAATATGTGTAGCATGTAATAACTATAAATAGAATTGATAAATAGAATATGTGTAGCACGTAATATCTATAAATAGAATATGATAAATAGAATATGTGTAGCACGTAATATCTATAAATAGAATATGTGTAGCATGTAATATCTATAATAGGGTATGTGTAGCTTGTACAAATAGAATATGGGTAGCACGTAGTATCTGTCTCACTGTCCTGAATCGGTTTATCGTACACTAGGTAGCACATGTACTCTTAGGTTTTACCCGTAAACTGTTGGATGTCATATAAGTTTTTCACAGTAATCATAAATTTCTCATTCTTAATCCTAAATTCCTCAGTTCTTCAATCTTAATCCTAAATTCCTCATCCTTAGTCCTAAATTCCTCATCCGTAATCCTGAATTCCTCATCCATAATCCTAAATTCCTCAGTCTTAATCACATATTCTTCATCCTTCTTCCGTTATCCCATCCTTGCTGACCCCTATATTCCTCTTCCAGATTTATCCCAGAGCAGAGCACCGATGTCAATAGCAAAACTCCAGCCGGCGAACATGGAACCGCAGATTATATAAATAGACCTGCCAAGGATTCTACAAATAGATCTGCTACACAGACAGTGGCTATAGATGACGACGTTCGAAGGTCCAAGCCAAAGCACAGCCGAGTCAATGGGTGTGTGTGTGGTTATTAATAGAGTAGAACCCTAAAACCACTTGACGAGTGATATGCTATTGATGAGTGTGTGTGTGGTTAATAATATAGTAAACCCCTAATCCCTAAAACCCCTTGACGACTGATAGGCTATTGCTAAGTGTGTGTGTGGTTAGTACATGACCACTTGACTAGTGGCCTGCGATTGTTTTACATCTGCTGTGCCACTGATTTTCAGTCGGCGTGTTGTGTTGAGAATCGCATCAGTCGTACAACAACAATGACACAACAACAAACACAGCAGCTCTTTTCTTACGCGATTTTTTATTTAAGTGTGTTTTTGACTAACTTTTATGGTTTTTTATTCTTTATTTTCTAACTTTAAGGAGTTTGTAGCACGAGTAGGCAGTGCCATGTGAAAGTGTATGTGTATGTAAGTGATGAGCCAGACTATACTTGAGATGTATGTGTATGTACTACAATTAAGCTTACGCACGTCTTTGTTGGTACCTCTGTGATGTTTCTTGCCTCTGGGGGTATGCCATAGATATCGGGTGCTTTTGGGGGTTGGGGGTTGGGGGTTTTACTTTATCACTACTGTCCCAAAAGCAATTTCTGTATACGACTGTCCAACCAATTCACAATTTCGGGGCATGTGGATCCTGAAATGTCCCGAGAAATTCCAAAACAGTTGCGAGGTTCGCGCCAAAACCATGACCACTAAATGCCAAATCAGCACACTCTTCACTCTGTGTTTCTTTCTAATTCTCATCGACATATCACAATACTCGTAAAAACTATGTGCTAAAGCCCATCTCAATTCTCATAATCTGTCTAACAATCCGGTACTATCGGCAGATAGTCAAACTACCCCCATTGTTTATGAACGGGCTTGTACTACCTACAAGTTGCTAAACCACCCCCTCACACACACACACATATTCTAACACCAGTTTTATTACTATTACGTCCAATCTGTATCTAACTTACCCCCATAGTCCACACACTATCTCTATTTAATTTAAAACAGCCCCATATTCTAACCACAATCTCTATTCAAAACACCCCCATATTCTAACCACAATTGTATGTCTATCTACGTATAGCTAGACCGCCTGTCTACACACAATCTCTATTTAAACACCCCCATGGTCCACACATGGTCACTATCTAAATCACCCCCATATTTTATCCCCATATTGTACCATCAACAGATTAAATCGGGGCCGCCCCAGTGCACGAGCCTATCCCAAGTCCAGTCAGAGCCAAATACGTATTCGGAAACGGATAGATACACACATAACGCCAAACAGCGACCCAGCCACACACACGCCCACATACGCACATGCAAACGCACACACTGTGGCGCTTGCACGCACCAATCGCAGCACTCAGGCACACCCACAGACTCAGTCTCACACACGCACACACACACACACAAACACGAATGGGCATACGCATGTGCGTACACGGGCAGGTGTGGGTGGAGGAGAGAGGGAGAGGCTGAGAGAGGCTGAGAATACCGACAACACACAAACAGGGCTTAAACACACTACTACACAGCGACAGGTGGAACGAGAGGGAATAACGTTACCAGCACACATGCACACACACACCCCAGAACTGTTGGGGGCACAGACTCAGGGAGCCACATTGAAGGAATCAGACAACGAACGGGTGCGATCAAGTACTGCCCGATCCAGGTATGTCGTTAAACGCTATGGAAGTGTATGAGGAGGCGATCACCTATGACGCACGACAAGTATGTCGATATACGATATTGTAGTTTATATGTATGTGAAATACTGAACTGGTGCGATTGTCTATGATCCACTCCATTGTCATATGTATGTATGTATGTATGTATGTATGTATGTATGTATATATATAGACACGCACCTGTGATTACTTTTCAAGAAGTGTCCAAATTGACTTCTACGGCGGCATGTTATTTGCATCGCCAAAATGAACCAATCTTGAGATTGAGTGTCGTTTCTGAACTACAAAGTACGTACAATTTGACATTTAATATTTCTGCGCCCATTGTTTCTGGCGTACGAAGACGTGATATGTAGATCTAGATCAGATCCTTATACACACCCAATCCTACCTACACTTCAGGTGTCAACCCTCACCCACTGTGACATACACCTCATTCTACTTACAATGCATACGCTACGTTCACAGACATCTGCGCAATGGTGGCCGGTTGACGGAAGACAGCCAAATGCGTCTACAGCGATCTCGCACAGACATCCCGTTAGTCTCAAACACATCACAGGATCCAGCGCTAGTGGGCCGATACCACTCGGGTCTGAAACTGAAGGTATGTATGTATGTGTGTAGGTAGGTATGTAGGGTGAGACGTGGCGTAATCTGAAAATAGAATTCATATATCACAGACATAGTATGTATAAAGATACAAAGTATTGTGAGCTGTGTATCAAATCGATGGAGCAATGCCATAACAACAGCCAGACCTGGTGGCACGATATCATTCGGATCTGAGGCTGATGGTATATATGCGTATAAGAAGGTATGTGGGATAGGATGTAGAGTAATCTAAAAATAGATTTCCTTAAGTAGGTATGTGGGATAGAATGTAGAGTAATCTAAAAATAAAATTCATGTACCATCGTAGATTGCATACACAATAGAAAGTCACGGTGTGTTGGTGCTGATATGGATCAGAGTCGATGTATTGTAGAATACATATCTGGCCGGTAGGTAAGCTGAACACTCCAGTGTCTCATACGTACTCTACCTACATCTTACTACGTACTCTACATACCACTTACTACGGCACTTACTATCCTGTAGTACTGTGATGCTAATTGTATGCATGCGATGCGTATGCTGTCAGTAGTAAATATTCATTATATTTATAGCCATGCGTCCTCGGGCTACAGACTTGAATTCGGGACGGGCAGAATACCCTAAACCCTAAACCCTCGACCCTATGATTTTGATGCAGTTGAACCTCAAACGTACTACCTAGGCACGTGAACACATAGTCCATGGAGTATAGGTATATCTGCAGTACATAAAGATACTATACCCTCGTGATGTGATGGTTGTTGATAAACTGGTGGTAGTATAACATACTGATCTATGCTCTATACCTGACCCTCTCGTTGTATTTGTTACTGTGAACTGTGACCGATAGACCAGTATCACCGCCCCGATCCCAAAGGCTCCCATAGAGGACCGGATTGTCCTCAACTCCGCAGCTTTTCAGAGAGCGGGAGACGATAGTACCGTGGAAGAGACAAACAAAAACTTCACATTACAGGTACATATTGAATTGCCTGTTGGGGTTTTTGTGTCCATAAACTAATATACACATGTATATATCTATATCTATATATATATATATATATATCTATATCTCTATATCTATCTATTTATCTATTTATCTATTTATCCTTTTTTGGTAGATAGAGCGTCACTCTCTACAAGGCTACGCATTATATTCGGCACAACTGCTCACTATCACTCTCAATCGTTCACTCCCTGTACTATCGAAATGTTCATGGATCGCAGATAACGAGCATCAACTCGAAACACGCATCGAGCGGCAAACAGATTTCCAGTCGACGTTCTTATAGACGGAGTAATGGTAAGTCAGGTGGCCTGTCATTGGAGTCTGTGTGTGTGTGCTTGTGTGTATAAATATACACATTCAGGCGCTTATAAGTCGTGTCTGCTACCCATCTACTCCATGGAGTAGTTCTATTAATATCCTTCAACTCATATCAAGAACATCAAAATTAACAGATCGGTGGCTTACCCAAGCATCTGGGTATGTCCATCCACACGCATACAAACTTGCTCGCGCGGGGACAGCAGGGTATGTACGTAGACACTTTGACTGTTATATACATATACACACATATATATATAAATATAAGATATAGATATAGATATAGATATAGATGTAGATATATAGATAAATACACACATGGAAACATAAACACAGTCCATTATCCTTCACACAGAGTTGAGTGGACCTATACGCATAGCCAGTGGACCTATACGCATAGCCGCCGGCCTGGCCACAGACGATATAGAATTGCACAACGAGCAAATATATCAGAATGCGCAAGGAAATCAGGATTACAGCAGAAAAACAGGCACGGGTAATACGGCCAAAAAGGGATTCAGTTTGGAGTTTGAACCCGATCCGTATGATCCCGATTACTGTGAGGAACGCTGGACCGAGGCTCTACGCGCAGACGCAGAGCAAAAGTCAGGTGAGTTCTATCAGACAACTGGATACTATAAGTACTACGACAAGACTTTTGAACCTGTGAGTATTGTATGCGTAAGCACTGTATATGCAAATAAAAAAGTATGGTTTTATATT